ATTCTAAAATAACTATAATAACCGAATGTAGAGTACCTGATATATTATGTCTTTGAAATTAATATTACAAGTAATCGTTTTTATCATCGTAAACATTTATGCCTTCTTTAATCATACATATATAGAATTCCATTAGGAATGGTGAGTGGCGGTTAGTTTAATGCTGTAATTACCTTTGTGAGGAAAAAAAACATTTCAAGTGTTCGTTGTGTGGTTCTGCACTTTTAGAAGTCCAAATTTAACCTATGAACATTAATAGAGCACATTCTGGATTTACTTTTATTTGTTTAGAATAATATGTGTAAAATAAATGCTCTTATCCTGTACGATAAGTAATTTTGTCTTTTATACAATCTAATCGTGAATACTCCACAGAACAGTATAACTTGTATGGCTATAAGGTATTAAACGTTAAGCCTTAATGTTTTTTGTGAGCAAAGTCATACCAGTAAGCTCTACAGTTTGTGCTACAGATCAGTGCTTGACTGACACTAGAAATCCCTATGAAACTGAATGCGTCGCCTGTCTCTACCTGCAACGGTAAATTTAATCCTCAGATTTTTTTTACCTTGTAGAAGGCATTATTTAGAATTTATTTAATTTATTTACTCCACACATATAAAGGATCAAACGTCTAGATCAAAGGCTAAAATTTGGACTCCAACTTTTTTGCCTTGTATTGAACTGGATTATACAGTATAAGTATACTCATATCTGGCCTTAAAAAGCATATGGAGGACAGAGAAAATTTAGCAAATTTATCATTCGTACAGAGAAAACGTGAAAGATTTTAACGATTAACGTTCATTTACCTATAGTTAGTTTAGAGTATTTTCTTTTACTTAAAAAAAAATCACGTATACCCTGATTGTAATATGTAGTATGTCCTGACATGCTTGTTGGTCCTTTAACCCTGGTTAAACCAACATCTCGAGGTATTTTGTAACAAGAGACGCCCCCAACTAGAGGTAATTTTGTATTTCCTGTCACTGTGGCGATGATTTTGGTATATCTCGTAAGCATGATTGGTTTAATACGATTAGATTTAATTTTGTTAGAAAACATGAGCATAGGCTAATTCCAAAACATGGGCAATGGAACATACAATACAAGTACACAACCATTATATCGATCCTCTGTCATATGATATTGCATCTCAAACACAGGCTTGGCCTTGTTATTGCTCAAACAGAGGCCAAACTCTACGTTAATGACCTCACTGATGTTTGAAACTCATTATAACTTTCAAACGACAATGAGGTTATTAGACTGGCTGATGGCTCTATTAGCTGTATTGCATTCACTTTTAATCAGTGTAATACGTGAACTGTAATAGGTGACCGTATTTATTTGTAAGAAAAATATCCAATATTAAAAATTTGATATGATCTTTGACGGACGTGTAATTCCCTATTCAAGTCAGTACTTACTTATTGATGTTAAAGAAGATAATAATTGTAGGTAATACGATGTTGTTTTTAAATATTTCTACTTCATGGTTAACTTGTCAGAAATTGTTTAATTTAATTTTTTATTAAAGTTTGAACCAAATTCCTCATTGTTTATATATTAATAGGCGCTGGTAAATTCTACTAGTTTTCATTCTAGTTCTAGTTCTAGTTTTTCATTATGGATCTTAATGGTATATTGGTATATAAATTAAATATGAGTTTAAATGTCGTAACGAAAGAAATAATAAAACAACAAAACTTTCTAATGTATTTATCTTATTAACATTGATAAGTCCACCAGCTATTAATTTATAGTAATTTCATCTAAAATATTGGCCGTAAAATATTATTTTAAAACTGTTATAACTTTCCATTTTTAGGAGGTACGTTAGTTAATATTTCCCAAAATTTTTCTCTTTAGTTGAATGTGTTTTATGCAAAATATAATCATTCACAACAAGTTTTCAAATCATCACAGATGTAAACAAAATCTATTTAAACATCAAACCAAACAAATCACAACATCCCGATGTGTGTAATTACACAGTTGACCACCAGAGAGCAGTTTAAACAGAGATTGCTTTCCAGATACAATAAAAGAAACATTACTGTTCAAAATATTTGCGATTTCCACATGTGTTTTATTTTTTGTTGTTTAGTTTTAATTATTTATTTTATTTTATTTATTTTTTTTGCTTCAGGCCAAGTGGAATGGTAGCTTTAATTATTTAACAATATAAATGTAAAGTGAAAATTCTGTAATAAATTATTTCAGCTTTGATATAATTAAAGTGATTGAAAGCTAAGAAATTAATTAAAGGCCTGTTAACCTACTAAACCATGTGTACTGGTGATACAACCGATTTACCATTGTAATAATAAAGGTCAGTATTGATACAGGTGTGTTCAACACTACAGTAAAAGTACTTATGAATTGCCAACGTTTCAGAGTAATCGGTTTAAAGTTCAGCATCGTTGAATCAAAATTGCTGATCAAGCTTTTCTGATAAATTGTAAGTTATTTGTTACCATCGTACATTTTAACTCTTGTTTCACTTGGTATGTATTGCAAGAATTAAATTATATGAAATCGCTAGTTATTGATATCAAACAAAGTCAAATAAATGTTTAGAGGTATCTTAAATAAAGAAAAACACGTCGTAGGTAGCATGTCGAACCTAAAATAATCACGAAAGCTATATTTTAATAGAACTAGGTGTACATCACGTTATTAATTACACGTCTGTTGCGCAAGATGATGTTATGTTCTAATAAGTAATGTTCTACCGAGCTGTAATAACTTTGAGCACAAGATTAAATCCCTGCGGTGAAATGCAATAAGATTTATTTAGCAATATCACGCACGGAAATCTTTATACGAATAACGTATCTTTAATTGGTAGGCTTACGTTTTATGTTCATTATGTTGACTAAGCTGAAATAGCCTTATTTTAAGTGGAAATAATACGTATCGTAAACTTACAATAATATGTTTTCGTATTTTAATAACGACTTTAAACTTAACTAGCTATAAATGTTTAAAAGCTTAAGCTTCGCCAATCTTATGTTAGCGTCCACTTGAAATATTCAGTTAGACTTATTTCCTCGTGGTTCCTGCAAAACATGTATGCCACTGCATATGGGGGAATTAGGTTAAGTGCAAATCATACTACAAAACTATATTGGGGAGCGAGCTGGTTTAGTGGTAAAGCGTAGGGCTGTAGAGCCCAATGTCTTGGGTTCAAATCCCGCCAATCACCAACGGATTTTATCAATGTAATAAAGCTGCAAAACTCCTGCAACTAGCCTGAAGTAATGTGAAATGGTTCATGGCCGAGGATGTAATAGTGGGACATAAAATACAATAGTACAATACCATATTATTTATAATTAATGCTGATGCGGTAATGAAATAAATGTATGGCAACAACTGTGCCGTTGCTGTTCACTACATTATAAAACCAAAACTTATGGATCAATAGGTGATTTTTATTTTATTTTCTAAATGCAAACATAGCATTGATTATTCTTAAACAATATTCAACAATCTTTAGAAAGGATAAGATCGATAGCCTTAGTATCGTAAGACTTTTGTATGATTTCATTATATGTGAGTGTAGAATTAATTCTTGGTTTAAATGTCGCATTTTAAGTTGTTTTCCCTCACACTCATTCAATTTGATTCTAAAACTTCATTTAAAGGTCATAATAAGTTGTAAAATGTCTTATGACTCATTAATAACTTTTAATTGACTCTAATAATGTAAATCAACATAAAAATATTGTGTCTAAATTGTGTAAGATAATTGCATTTTCATAAATTCATAAATTATATTTTGTTAATTATTAAACGATACTTAAATAAACATTCTATAAATCCTTATTAACTCAAACGTGGTTAAATCCTAATACACTAATTTTATGCCCTTTTGAAAAATATATTATATTTCTATTAGGCATAAACAAATGTTGAATTGATACGAATTTACGGAATGTATATTTTAAGATTGTTCGATAAGTTATAAAATATATTGTTAAAAGCATTTGTTACTTTCTAAATGATATTCAGTACCAACATTTGTACGTAAACTAGTATGATTCATGAATTGATGGAAGTTAAATTATCTAAATGAGCGTGTCAGAATCTATCGGATCATCACTACTCATCCGTCATGCATGCATATTGGATTTCCTCATGTTGATTACAATTACTGTAGTCATGATTAACCAGAATGTAATGGAATAATGTGTTTATGTTTAGAGGTGTTATATAAGTAAGCTAGCCGTTTTACCTTTTATTCGTGTGCATAATATATTTTTATTGTTTGGGAACATATCAAACTACATTTGGTTCGTATTTTCGTCAGTATTGACTTGTGCAAACAATCAAAGCCTGAAATTCATCAAAATGATGTAGGTAATTGTCTGTACTTCTTCGAGTGACCACTTTAAAAGTACGTTTGGATTTTTATATTAAAATACCAAAACGAAAGTGTTAAATATTTAAAAGGTTTAATAAAAGGGATGTTTGAAGAATGAAATGTTCATACTTTGTTTTAAGACGTACATCAAATAAAAAATAATATTTAAAGTGCAATATTTTCAAAGTATAAAAAATGAAATAAAATAAAATTAAATAATACTTTATTTTTATTTAATTATATTGTGATATAATAATGGTGAATATTGATTATAAAAACAGAGAATTAATTGATATTATTTCTAGCTTAATATTTAAGCAACAAAAAGCTAGAAGATCTGAGTAATTAATAAGTTAGAAATATTCTTACAATTTGGGTAATGAAATAGTTTATCTGCAATAATTTATTTTTTTTAATAGTAATATGACTTGTCATTTTGGAATATTGCTGATTTCTAGTTGCATTTGAGATTGCTAAATGTTGAAGCAGGCCTATGCAGTCATCATAAAATTCAGTCATTCAATCCCGATTTTCTTTCAATTGAGGTACTTTTGTGGTAATGTTCTAAATATGTGATCTGAAAAACTTCTTCCAACACATTTTTAGTTTATCATTGCATTTCAGGTAGCGGAACGTTTCGGGCGTGGCAGTCTTTGCGCGGTCTTGCTTGTTTGGTAAGTGTCTGATCATTATTAACTACATTACAGCACATTTTAGGTAAACAAACATGTTGAAAGTAAGTATATCCCAGCAATAGTTAAGACTATATACAATAATATCGTATACGCTGTATAATAACAATCATGTATTTTAGAAAAGGAACATTTAATACAGGTTTAAGAATATAATATTTTTAACAAGTTTTTGACATTTTTTTACACTCACGACTGACACATGTTACTTTACTATATTAAAAATGTTTCAACATTTATTTTCAAATAAAAAAGAAAACCAGTGAAATATAAATCCGTTTTTATTAAAAAACCAAAGTAGATTATCACTTTACACTCATATACGGCAAAATGTTTGTTACTTATAGTTTCGACATATGGTTCGACATTAACCAAATTTAATGAGATATTATATCGCATTTATACAATTGAAGTTTAACGTTAATTACTCAGGTAATTAATTGGCTGTCTACTAGAGATTTGGCGTTTGATATTAACTTTACCAGAGTTCAGGTAGTTCTCTTTTAAAACGTTTACAATGACAATAGCGTGAACACAAAAAACTAAATAAGAGGTAACTTTTTTAAATGAGAATAAATTATAAATAATGATTTTCTAAAACAAAATCTAAGTCTTTTGACACTATAGGTTTTGCATTTTGGTAAACAATTAGGTAGTAGATAATTTTCACTACCATTTCAACCTATTTTTTTTCTTTTTTTTATTCTCATCCAATTGAATGTCATTGAGGAAAGTAACGTTGCACAGAGAGTAACGTAGTAGGAAGATGTCGCAAGATATAAACAATGATTAGGACCAACGACTCTGAAGAGGTCAAAGTTAGGAGTTTCTTGGCTTAGTTCAAACATGCACCAGCACATGTGGTGATAACATTTTAACAGTATAAACTTAAACAATATAATGAAGTCAAAATAAGTATTTACAACTTTGCAAATCTGTTTTCAGTCTTAAAAATACACATTTAAATGTAGTTTAACCATCATCTAGTTTAAACCAAAATTGTATCATACTGAGTTTTGACAAACTTATTAATTTGTCGTTTAAATGCCATGTTTGAACAATCATTCAACAATATATCATTGCAAATACATATTTTTTTTATATAGAGAAGTATGTAAAGAGCATTATATGTTCTTGTAAACTAAACATAATGTATATTTAATATTGTAATGGCCAATGCTGTAAAGAGTTGTTCTGATTTCATCCAGTTTCAACAGTCATTCAACCAAAGAAAATAATAATTTTGGCCATCTTAAAATTGGAACTTACCTTGCCATAGGGCATTTCATTATTTTGATATATTATCGTTTCATGCTCTATTACCTGATTTATTATAATTTAATCATAGTTTTATTACTAAATGGGTCATCTAAGTAGTTAGTACAATTAAGAACGTGAAACCTGGTAAAATACATGTACAACTAATATATAACAAAGTTTAAGCGTTGTATTGGTAATAAAGGAAAGTATTAAAATTCAAGTTCAAATTAAGTTCTAAGCTTAACCCAATCATAAACATCCATAACAAAAAACAACAACTCTAAAAAACCTTACAACATACGATTTCAATTGACTGTTTGATTTCAGTAAAACAATCAATTTAAATTCAAATCAAAACGACCGAATTGTCTAATTGAACACTGATTGACCAGTGATAGACATATTGGCAATCAGTTGTGTTTAACAATTGTTCGGTTGCTTGTTCTATTGAAAAGTAAACCAACTTTGATAAGTATCGGTGTAATGTACTGAAATCAATGTGTAAAACTAATACCTAGTAATCTATCGACCCAACACTATAGTACAATATTTGACTGGTTAGTCATATTTACAAACGACATATAGCTAACTTGCTTACATGAAATATCATTTATGGTTATAATTTACATGGTTACAACTCCATCAGCTCCCGACCTAGTTTCTGTTTATAATCATGTTCGTATCCCCTTGCTGGTTGCTCTAAACGTAAGTTATGTTCTCAATGTTTCGGAGTCTACTCCCTTAGTGGCCTGACACTGGGTTGCCTGTCCAATATCATTACAACTGAAATATGAAGTTTATAAGTGAACGCTCGTGTTTATCACTAAACCTTTCAAGAAAGATTTTAGACATGGTGGGGTTATAAGGTAATAGTTATAGGTGCATTATTAGCAGGAGTAATATTTGTAGGACCGAATGATGTTTGATATCTCTTGTTGGTGATTGAAATTCTAAAATAACTATAATAACGGACTGTAGAGTACCCGATATATTATGTCTTTGACATTAATATTAAAAGTAAACTTTTTTCTAATTGTAAACATTTATGCCTTCTTTAATCATACATATATTGAATTCCATTAGCAATGTTGCGTGGCAGTTAGTTTAATGCTGTCATTACCTTTGTAAGGAAATCTGTAATTTCAAGTGTTCGTTGTGAGGTTCTGCCCTTTTTAGGAGTCTAAATGTAACCTATGAACATTAATGGAGTACATTCTAGATTTATATTTATTTTTTTAGGATAATATGTGCAAAAATAAATGCTTTGATCCTCTACTATGAGTAATTTTGTCTTTTATAGAATGTAATCGTGAATACTGTACAGAACAGTATAACGTGTATGGCCTAGAGTATTAAGCCTTAATGTCCTTTGTGAGCAAAGTCATGCCAGTAAGCTCTACAGTTTCTACTAATCAGATCAGTGCTTGACTGACACTAGAAATCCCTATGAAACTTCAAGCCTGTCTCTACCTGAAACGGTCAATTTAATTTTCTGAATTTTCCCATTTGAATCACGTAGAAGCCATGGTTTAGAATTCATTTACTCCATACGTATGGATTTTACATCTATCAAAGGCTATCATTTCGACTACAACTTATTTGCCTTGTATTGAACTGGATTAGACAATATAAGTATACTTATATCTTACCTTAAAATGCACATGGAGGTCAGAGAAATTTGGTATATTTGTTATTCGTACAGTGAAAACGTGAGCGATTTTACCCTAAAACATACACATACCTATAAGTAGTTTAGAGTAAACTATTTGACTACCGAATAAATTAACGTGCACCCTGATTGTAATATGTAGTATGTCAGGGTTATCCAACATCTCGAGGAATTTTGTAACGAGAGACGCCCCCAAAATATATATAATGTTTTTAGAATTTTTTGTTTCCTGTCACTGTGGTGATGATTTTGGTATATCACGTAAGCATAGTTGGTTTAATACGATTAGAATTAATTTCGTTATAAAACATGAGCATAATTCCAAAACCTCGGCAATGGGACATACAATACAAGTACACAAGCATTATATCGATCCTGTGTCATATGATATTACATCTCAAACACAGGCTTGGCCTTGTTATTGCTCAAACAGAGGCCAAACTCTACGTTAATGACCTCGCTGATGTTTGAAACTCATTATAACTTTCAAACGATAATGATGTAATTAGACTGGCTGAAAGCACTAAAACAGGCAACAGTATTATTTCTTTATATAAATTAATACAATTAATGACATGATGGTAAAAAAAATGATCGCACATGTAACAATGCTATGTAAACAATATATTAACAGTTTACCTTAGCCAAACTGAAAAAGATTAGTTGAAGAGGTATATATTTTGTATGATTAAATTAAAAAAAAAACTCACATGAATAGGTTTTTAAACCCGTTATTATGTAAACAAAAAGCATTATCCTTACTAACTTAAATGTCTTTTAAGAAGTGTTAAGCTATAAGTATTCGTGATGTAAATGTTGTTCATTTGTATATGATATGAGTTTTTTTTTTTAATACATCTTTATATACATTTGAGGACTTTTAAAACCCTAAACTCCTACAAGCTATAAAAGTCTAAAGCTGAAGCCTCGCATGCTTATTTTAGCGTCCAAGTGAAATATTTAGGTAGACGTATACCCATGCGGTTCCTGCAAAAGAGGGTCACTCGCTTTTACTTATGCTAAAATAAGAATAAGAACAAAATACCTAAACATGGTCTGCACATATGTATATGGTAATGTAGAAAAAAATGAAGTAGCTAAAATTTTAGAATAATGTAGAATTGCATAAATTATTTGTACAATTACAATTCTACTAGTGAGTGAGTTGTAGGTAGTCATTTATTTTTTAAACATAATAATCTTTGGTGTGAAATAGTTACAGGTTCCCTTGGAATTTATAAAACTATAAAACAAGGATAAAAAAAACTTTTATCTTACTAATTTACTACATTGAATTGTTATCTGTCTCAAAATAGTTCAATATATTTTTTACTTAATTTAATTCAAATAATACTACAACCAACTTACGATTTGCAGTGTCTTCTATAACAAACAAACCCCGTAACCTAACACTCCTTTCTCCGAAAAAGGGTAAATGTTTCTTTTCTACAAACATTTAAAGATAAAACAACCTTTGTAGTACTCCCTTTGTTCGGGATGGAAACACTTGATCTATTGTGATTTCATTGTTAGGTATTATAAGTGGAAAATAAATTGACAATTTCTATCAAACAGTGAATGAGGCCTATGAACTAATGTTTCTTCAACTATTTTAACAATTAGTACTGCACAGAACTTGGATTGGTCATAAAATAAATAAACTTATCTTCATAACTTTTCTTTACTTTCACTTTTCAATAAGTAATGATGTAAATTAGATTTTTCTATACCCCAAAAAGGCAGTAAATGTTTAACTGCATCGTTGGATATTTCATGCAAAGCAATAAATTGCTCGCTAGTTAAGTTTATGCATAGCTTAAAACACAAGAACATATTTTAAGTAAACAACATTTTTTTTAAGCATGCAGCCTCACCATATACTTCTCATATTTAATTTAAAATTATGAATAACTAGAAAAAATAATAATAAAAATTTACTTGCAACCAAACTCATATACAATCGTTCACTAAATAATGTTTGATTGTTTCACGATACAATTTTTCATAGATGTAACATATAAAAAGTGAAGCTCCATAAGCTTAGATATAGAAA